AAAAAAAAAAAAAAAAAACCAGAAAAAAAGTTTAAAGAAACTGTTAGCACTTGTGCAAATGTGTAAAGTCATATGCAGATAAGGTGAAGTAATTGATTAATTTGGCTTCATTATGTTTCTAAAATAGTAATTAATGTTTTCTTCTGTGACACCTATAGACCCCCCGCTTGGTGATCTAAAATTTTTATGTACGTTAATGTACTTTTTCGTGCTGACTAGCGCTCTGTTGAAGCTCCAAAGACAGGATACAAAGTTTGCTGCTTTTCTAATCAGTAGGTGAATAATTACAAAACGTTACAATTTAGTGATAATAATCCAATATCAGTGATTCTTCGCTACTTTTGCTTCTAAACATTTTTCAAACGTTTTTATTAATTTATACAATTTTTTACAAAAAAATGGCGAATATTACCAAGAAAACTACTTTGTTTTTAAAAGTTTTAACGCATACATTCATTCTTTGAAGTAGAATTTTTGATGGGACTTTTTGTTCTGGTTGACCCCGCGCACTAGTTAAGAATGTATATATAAATATATGTACGCTTCTATATAACAAATCGTTCACTTCTTCAGACGACGTCTATATCAAAAAAGTACTCTTTGAAGACCTTCTTTTTAGCGGAAAAGCTAAAAATCTAAAAGTTGGAAGATTTGCTAGATTTTGACGCTTAAAATAGAAGAAACAAAAAGTCCCATAAAAACAGCACTAATATTTCATTTTAAGTTCACTAATCGACGTTGATCAAAAATTTCCAAAAATTCTTTGCTTTAAAAAGCATTTGTATCTCTTCAAAAGAAAAAACTGAACAAAAACTTAAAATTAATTTTTAGGATTACCGCCTACAATCAGGTCCGAAAGAGAATTATGGAAGAGGAGAACGAGGTACACATAACAATTGTTTCATTCCAGTTTTTTTACACCGCACTATTGGAACAAAACCTGCAAATTCTTCCGGTCTTTAATTTTAAAACAGTGGTTTCAAGTAATCTGTTTCTAGAAAATGAAGAAAATAAAGTTAACAAGTGTGCTAATAAAATGTTTTTTTCCAGAATCTCCCAGCAACCAGTCAGCAGTCTTTGAGCAGTACCTCAGCACCTAACGAGCTGCTCTTCAGCAGTCGCCGAGCACTTAACGAAGGTTTTCTTACGCTGATAATTTCAAACGTCTGGTCCCTTGATCACGAAGTGGAATCGCCAAAGCAGGATGTTTTTGGACTTGAATGGTTTTTTATTAGTTCTTATACGTTCATCAGATCCGTGCGGATTCCGTGTTAACTTGCTTTTCTAATATACAGGTTCTTATCAGCAAAGATGGAGGAACAGGTTTGTGGTACGGAGGTGGGGAATCAGGATTGTTGTACGAAGTATCTTGGACTTCATCTTTATTGCGGTAAAGCGACTAGATTTAGTTGCTGGAGCTGTACAGCCATTTTTCAACTGACATTGAAGCACAGAAACGAACAGCTAAATTACGTTAAAACGGTGAGAAGTTTATATTTTGTTACTGTAACTATTCGTTATTATCAATTATGTAAAATTTCATTCAAATTTAGCATAAATACAATTTCTCTCAGCAACGTACTGAATACAGCGTTCCAACATTCATTAAAATGGAAGATCTCGCCAATCTCAACAAAGGATACACAGAAAACGGAAAAGTTTCTATTGAGGCGCATATTGTTGTTAAAAAAGTTAAAGGAACGCGGTAAGATTTTAGATTTCATCTGATCTCTGGTCTTGAGCAAGTATAATGATCTCAAAGCAGAAAAGTTGCTTATTAAGACTGAAATTAACGACGCAGCTGTGATCTGCTTGAAAGTGCCATTATTAGGCGATGTGTGAAGCACTTAATTTATAAACTTCATTAGGTCTCTTTTTTATTCAGGCTTTCAGTAAGCTTTTAGCATAATTTCTGTCATTGAAAATATTCTGCGCTCAAATAATCTAAAAGTGTCTGACACACCGTTTTTTGCTCTCAAAATTGAAAGTTACTTTAGATTGTTACTCTAATCAAAGCAGTTGTGTTTTTCCTGCTCTGCTGTAAATCTTTGTCGTCTTCACCTATTCTGAC